AAAAAGGAAGACTTACCAATGAAGTGGATTGGCACAGTGGCAGCAGCAATGAATTCAAGTGTAGAAAAGATTGCAATGTTGATGCAGGACCCACCTCCCAGTGTTTTGTTCTGTTATGCATGGCACATAATAATAACTACAACAAGCCTTCCTTGAAGAATTTTGTGGTCTTCAATTTATACTATGTCAAAACGATACTTTTGGCATCCTTGAGGGACTGAAATCATGTTTAAATGTTATTTGAGTTTTGAAAACAACAAGTCTGTACATCAAAACAAACAAAAAACCTCAAACAAACACATAAAAACAGAGACTAGAAGCAAATACTATTGAATAATGATGCATGGAGGAGATTATAATCATTGCAATGAAATGAAATAAAATAGGATGAATGCAAAACCGATGTTCTTGCATGTAAACGATCACTAAATTCACAATAAAAGCTTTAAAAAGAAGTCTGAAGTGGGAAGATAAGGGTGTAGGGTAGATGGGGTTGTTGTTGTTAAGCGTCATTGAGTCAATTCTGACTCACAGTGACGCGGTATAGGGTTTCTGAGGAGCAGCTGGTGAGTTTGAATCACCCACCTTGCAGTTCAAACCAACCTAGTGATTATCCTACAGGGCCCCACCAGGAGGCTTCCCAGTTAAATTCCCTGGGGACAGTCCTTGCTACCCTGGAAGATGAGGTGTTGCGTTGTCATGATGATAAAAACATTCCTCAGTAAAAATTCATGACCTTTTCCTTACTAATGCAGTTTTCCATTTTCTTAAATCTTCTTCATAATGAGTCCCATAATTATCCTGTACCCTTTGCTTACCCTTTTGGGATCTGAAAAGGCAGTTGCCATAACTTTCTAAGCTGATCTGCGTCTTGAATTTAACTGGCCCAGCAGATCCCCTGGGAAGCCACTGCTTTGATTGTCCTTTGTTTCCTAAGTCACCCTAAGGAAACTAAGACAAGTACATTATTAAGAGAAATTATCTTAGCCATGCAGTGATAGCAGAGATATGGTTAAATACGGTTTGTTTGTAATAAACCAGTGTATGGATAAAGTGCAACCATGACAGCAATACTTTTTGACTTACCCTCATCCAGCACTTATACTTGGAAGGTGAGGAGCTTATCTATTTGGAGAGGCTAGATATTAGCAACTGAACAAAATGTTGCTATCACCCAGAATATTCAACACAAATTCAATTAAAAATCTGCTAAAGGGCTGATGACTGGGGAGTGGGGGTGGGGGCCGGGCTTGTAGGGTATACCCTTTGGTTGGTTGATGATGCATGGAGGGGATTGTAACCATGGCAATGAAACAATATATGATAGGATGAATGTAAAACTAATGTTCTCCCATGTAAAGTATCACATAATTCACAATAAAACATTTTTTTAAAAATCTGCTAAAGGTTTTTGTAGCTATTATAATAATGTCATGATTGTCTCCAACCTGGGGAAGTAGTTTGGGAAGATTGTTAAGTTATGTAACAGTGAATATTACTGGAAATAAAGTGATTAATGCTTCCTAAAAAAAAAAAAAAAGACTAGAGACAGGGAAATTAGTTAATGACTTTTGCTGTGATTCGGGTGAGAGATGAAGAAGACGGAAACTGAAGCAGTGCTAATAAAATGGATTTTTTTTTTTTTAAAGCCACATTTGAGATATTCAGGGAGTAGATGTGGTAATAGGGTTTAGGATGACAGAGCCATAGTTCCTTCATAGTGAAAAGTCTTTTTCGCATCAGGGACCTTCTATGCACTCTTTTTTCGCCTTCTAAATTAAGGATCCCTGGTAGTGTAGTGGGTTACACACTGAACTGCTAACAGTTTGAATCTACTTGCCACTCCAGTGGAGTAGGATGAGGCTTTCTGCTCTGGGATTTATTTACAGCCTCAGGAACCCTATGCAGGGTAGCTACGAGCCAGAAGCAACTCATGGCACCCAACCACAACTCCCCTAACTTATATTGCTTCTCTGTCTCTCTCAAAGCATCCTGTTCTTTTTCTTCCACATGAATAGTTCAAATGTTTGTGTGTTTGACATGATACCTGCTGTAAAGGAGCACGAGGACAGGGACTGTGACCAGAGAAACTCCGGTATGTAGCACACTGCCTACAAACAGAGAAGTACTCAGTTACTTGTTGGAGAATTGAAAGAATACAGGTTTATGGTCTGGTAGACTGGTTAATACGATTCATTGTGGAGAGAAATACAAAAGAAGTAGTAAAAATTTTCTCCAGTGCAGTGGGTTAATGCACTGTACTGCAAAGTTGGTTTGAACTACAAGGTTCAAACAAGCAGCTCACCAGCTGCTCCTCAGAAACCCTATACAGGGTCACTATGGATCATAACTGATTCGGGGGCACTTAGGAACAACAATTGCTTACTGCTACCACCTGCCAGTTTGTCTTCTTGTGGTGGCTTGCATGTGGCTATGATGCCACTGGTATTACAAATACCAGCAGGGTCACCCACGGTGGACAGGTTCCAGTGGTACGTCAAGACTTTGGCAAACCAATAAGAAAGGTTTGGTTATTTATTTCCAAACATCAGTCGATGAGAACCCTATGGATCACAAGAGAAGACTGATATGGTGCTGGAAGATGAGGCCCCTGGGTTGGATTCCAGTATACCCAGGATAGTGGAGATTTCTTTCTGTGGTACATGGTTTTGCCATGAGTTGGATGGAATTCACTGACAAGTAACAGCTGCTGCTTACTGAATTCTCTCCAAACTCTTCTATCTAGTTTTCAGGTTCTCCATTAATCTGGACGTGTTTTGTTCTGTCCTTCCATTGGATTTCCTCCTTCCTTCCACTGGTCTATAGGCATATTTTTCCAAACTCATTGTCATCTTCCTCTTTTTGAATTCAAAGGATATCCTTTCTGAGTCACCTCCCCCATGATGCTTCCTCTGACGGAGTCTGACTCCAAAGCTACAGTTCAGTTAAAAAAATAAAATGCCTGAACTGATAGGCTGAGATCCTATCACTACTACAAAATTGCCATGGAAACAGGAACTCTTGTTCACCATTGAATTCCCAGCACCTTGTGTAAGGAGCTATGGTAGCGTAGTGGTTACGAATCGGGCTGGGAACCACAAGGTCAGCAGTTTGAAACTACCAGCTGTTCTGTGGGAGAAAGATGAGGCTTTCTGCTCCCGTAAAGATTTACAGCCTCGGAAACCCTGTACAGGGTCGCTATGAGTAGGAACCGACTCCATGGTATATAACAACAACAACAGCACATTGTGTAGCGCTGTGGGTTAATGCACTACACTACAAAGTTGGTTTGAACTGCCAGGTTGGAAGTTCAAGCTCACCAGCCACTCCTTGGGAACCCTATACAGGGTCGCTATGGGTCAGAACTGACTCAACGGGACTTAACAACAGCGCATTGTTGTTTGATGAAGGTTTCCCAAAAGGTAAATCTTTGGTGGTGGTGGTGGTGTAAATCTTTACGGAAGCAGAAGCCAGTTTCGAACTGCTGACTGTGAGATTAGCAGACCTCATAACCACTATGCAACCAGAGCTCCACAGAACAGAAAGCCTCATCTTTAAACCACCAGCCGCTCCTTGGAAAGCCTATACGGGGTCACTGTACTCACCCTACAGTTTATCCTACAGCGCTTTACCTAACGCAGACTCGTTGTGTAATACAGTAAACGAATTAGACTTGAACCCATTACCAAGTAAAGCAAATATTTAAAAATGAATTTGTATCTTGGTTATTTCCTGGCTCTGTGATCTTGCTATGTGAGCAAGCTTGTCTAAACTGATTTTTTCAACTCTGAGATGCAATGGGGAAACCTTAAAAAGAAATCTGTGGGATTCTTTTATTATGGAAAAATAAAACATAAACGTTCCCATCTGAACCATCGTCAGACACAATTTAATGGCATTGATCATAGTCACAGTGTCAAACTGTGATCATTAGCCCAATTTGTTTCCAAACTTTTTTTGTCATCCCCATGCCAAAGATTCTTTTAAAAACTGTAGAAATAACTAAGTGGATTTGACACCAACTTCGTTTCGAACGTCTATAAGAGAATCCGCCCGAAGCAGAAACCACGGACAGCCAACTCCCTAGCTAACAAGCCCGCAAGCCTCCAGGTCCGCCGCCGAGAACGCGCGGGAAAGCAAAGACCCCACCCACCGGCTAATCTAGTGGTGGTCCACGGCGGCCCGCCTATCTAGCTCGTGAGAGATGTTTTCATTGACCAATTTCAACTATGCGCCGCTTCTCATTGGCCCACTCTTCTGTCCCTCCGGCTCTGACGCATGTATCTTGCGCATATACCGGTCAATGATGGGGCTAGAAGGCCCGCCTCCGGGTGCCGTGTGCAAAACCAAGCCGCCGTTAAGGAGGCGGAGACGGGGGCGTGGTCAGATTAGAAGAAGGCGTGTGATTGGACAGCCTTTGCGATTCAAGCCAGCAAAGCTAGTTGGCATTGGCTGGGACACCGCGAGGAAGGTCTCGGTTATTGTCTAGTGTTTCGGCTGCGACGGCGACTGCAGCGGCGGTGGCGGCGGCGGCTGTTTGTGTTGTGATAGTGGTGGCGGCGGGAGCTCAAGGAGTGGAGCAGGTGCTTCGTGCGCGAAGGAGGCAGAGTCGGCTCCGCGTCCTAGCGGACCGGGTGAAAGCAGCGCAGCGCGTCCGGGAGCAGCGCCGAGACCATGGTAAGGGCTGGAGCCGGGCCGCGTCTTCCCGCCGCCTCCCCGGAGCGGCGGGGCAGGTGTCACGGAAGCGTCCGGGGCCGTCGGCGTCGAGCGCGGGCTGCCAACGCCCGGCCTGTGTGCCTCGGGCCGCAGCTGCCACCTGTTGAGCTTGAAGTTTGCTCAGCATCCTGCGGTGGCGCCGCATCCTCCCAGAGGACCACCGAGTCTTCTCTCGAGCGGGGAGCCCCCAGGTCCCTGGTCCAGGAGGCCGGCTCCGAGATGGCTTTGTGTGGTTTTGACTCACAGAAACGAGCGTGTGCTGTCGGCCGTCTGCAGGATGCCGAGTGCACGCTCCGCGTATTAATTGGAGGACCGTGTCGATTTTGGTGGAAGGGGGCCCTAGAAAGCAGAGCGGTGTAGTAAAATGATGGCTCGCGGGTATGGTATGGGGTTTTCTGTATAACGGTACATCCCTCTGCCCTGCTACGTATTTTCAATCTTCTTTTCCTAAATTCAGATTTATAAAAGCAAAGCGGGTTTAAAAAAAAAAAAAAAGTGGTGGATAAAACTTGTGCCCCATCCTAAAGTTGAAGAGAGGAGAAAGTGCAGTGTGCATCAGAGATAGCTGGACAGATAATGCTGTTACGCAATCTCATTTGAGCTCTCTGTGTTTAGGCGGTCACGCCAACCATCCCTCCTACTGCAGAATGTTAGTCTTTTGCTTGATATGACAGCTGTGGAGTTTTGTAGTTGGCCAATCAAGAGGATAAAAGATTTGGTTGTTGGAAAACTCTTCAGTCTTAGAACTGGAAAGACTTGGTGAGTTGTTGTTGTTATGTACCATGGAGTCGGTTCCGACTCATAGCGACTGAGGCTGTAAATCTTTACGGGAGCAGAAAGCCTCATCTTTCTCCCGCGGAACAGCCCGATGCCTACAATCTCTATACAATCTGTGGTTTATAGTAATGCTCTATATTGAAGCATTTTTACAAAGTGAGATACAGTTTATATCTAATCTATAAATTCGTTTGCTCAAGCTGATGATTTTCATGATCACTTCTTGGTCTTTAAGATGTTTCTCTTTAGTGATTGACATGCTGTACATTTGGTATCCATTTATCATCAGTATCTAAAAAGACATCAATAACAAGCTCAAAATAGGGACGCAGAGTTGTCTTGGTGGTCTTCTCAGCTGATCTAATTTATAGTGCAACCTGTTTTAGATTTTAAGGTTAAGCAGAAATGAGCCATAAATTTATTGTACAAGTAGGAAAATATTCTAGCATCCAGTTTTCAAATTTTTTGGAAATGTGCTCCAACTTTTAAAATTTCAACATGTTATTGTGATTTGAGTTTTGTTCCACATTTTCCTCATGTTTTCCAAGACCTCCCCTTTGAGAGCAGTTGGCATTGGTAGCCTGACTGAGTCTAGTTCCTCTGGTCTCACTCAGGTCATGGAGGCTGAGGTCTGCATGTTCATTACTCCTTTGGACTAACTCTTTCCAAGCATGTTGTATTTTATGCACTCTGCTTTGGGTGGGGAGACCAATAGATGACTAAAGACCAATCCAATGACCAGAACTCCAGTTTTTCTGTATGTATGTTTTCCACCAAGAGAGTTTACTGAAGGGAGAGTCAGTTCTGACTTAGAGCAGCTGGCGGGTTTGAATAGCCAACTTTGCAGCACTTTATCCTACAGTGCCTCACACAGCAGTACACCCAAGGTGGTATTAATTAAATTCTTAGAATGAAAAATGTATGTTGCTTTCATTTTATTTCTCAGTTATCAATTAAAATATGTCAATTTGGGAGGGTATAGAGAGAGAGTTCAAGGAGATTATGAAGAGTAATTTTCCATTTATTGTACATTTAATGCTTAGGTTGATACCATGAACATTCTTACTCTTATGAGTATAAGATCAGGAGTTCTGGTGTGGTGCTATAGGAGTTCTGGAGTCATGGTGAGGCATTGTGGGTTAATGTGCCAGACTGCAAGGTCAGCAGTTCAAGCTCACCAGTCACTCCTCGGAAACCCTATACAGGGTCGTTATGGGTCAGAACCGACTTCACGGCACTTAGTAACAACAACAACAAAATAGGAGTTCTGCTGTGGTGCTATAGCACTGACCTGCTGATTGCAAGGTCTGCAGTTCAAACCCACCAGCCGTCCTTAGAAACCCTTTATAGAGTTGCTGTGAGTTGGAATGAACGTCATTTAACAACAACAAGAAATTTATCAGGTCTCTAATTCTTGGAATTTATAATTTAATGTGCTGAATAGGATTATTTGTCTGTCTCCTTAGAAAGCAAATAGATGCAGCAGCAAATATGACAGATTTAAGACAGTAAAGATAAAATTTGTTAATGCAAGGGACTTAATGTATAAACTGCCTGGGTAGTGTTGTGGTGGTGGCTTTTCATGTATAAGTAAGTCAGTCTTATGTTTTGTAGCACCAGGGACCCTCAAAATTTGCAAACCTCCATCCAAGGCATAAGGAGAGCAAGTTGAGTCAGGACAAGGAAGTGGCATATGTGACTAATTGCCTCCATGACCAGTGTCCCCTTGACCATGAGATCAGAACTGGAGGATGCCTGGCTACCATTACTGAATATTTTGACCAAAGATTCTATTGAAGAATCCTGATCAAAAGTGGGGGAATGCAGAATACAATTCCACATTCTAATGGAATCCAGATTTTTCTGGACCCAAAGAGGTTGGATGAACCTTAAAACTATTACACTAAGATAATCTTTAAAACATAAACCAAAAACATCCCCTGAAGTCTTCTTAAATCCAAACAACAGGTTAACTTAACTAATAAAGAATGTCTGCCTCAAGTGTTGTGCTCTTTTAAAGGTATACGTTGTTGTTAAGTGCTGTCAAGTCGGTTCCAACTCATAGTAACCCTGCATAGGGTTTGCAAGGAGCAACTCTGTGGGTCTGAACTGGTGACCTTGTGGTTCAAAGACCAGTGCTGATCCTACAGCGCCACATCAGGAGTCCAAGGTATACATTTGTACTGTGGAGTCGGTTCCAACTCATAGTGACCCTGCACAGGGTACATACACGGGGTCATATTGATAACTGCATCTCAAAAGATTAGAAAGGAAATCTGGGGGACAGTGAGTTTATGTTCATGGGAAAGGAACGACTCAGGACAAGAGAAGGAGAATGGTTGCACAACTTGAAGGCAGTCAGTGTCCCTGGATTGTACATATAGACTGTGAATTATATGATTTTGTTTTGTATTTTATCATCAGCAGAATAAATATTTGTATTAATGTCTAATCTTGTCAGAGATGATGGTTATCATTTTAGACTTGTGAACCATTTGCATTTTTTGTAATGTTTTATTGTGAATTATGTGATAGTTTACATGGCAGAACATTACTTTTACATTCATCCTATCGTATATCATTTCATTGCCATGGTTATAATCCCCTCCATGCATCATCAACCAACCAAAGGGTATACACTACAAGCCTGCCCCCCAGTCATCAGCACACAGCCCCTCTCCCTCTCTGGGTCTAAAGTCCCCAGCTGCTTCATCTCTCCACGACATTGTCTCTGCCTCCATCTCAGGCATCACTGCTTCTCTGGATAGGGTCCTGCTCTCCACTCTTCTCCCTTGATGGTCCCAGTGACCTCCGCTCCTAGACTAAAAAGTTAATCACTCCCCTCCTTGCTACAAAACGTCTACCTTTACATTTCCAACCCCATTTGCATTTTTTAAAAATGTCTTATTCTAGAGTGAATAGCTGTGCTTAAGATTGTTTTTAAGGGAAGCAGAGATGCAGTACAATGGTATTTTCCATCTGTGACTTTACCCTCTACTTTGAAAATACAGATCCTCTAAGAGCTAGCCAATCTGGCACACAGATTTTTTTTCCAAGTAGCTCTTTTAAGTGAAAGGATCCCTGGTGGTGCAGGAGTTAAGTGCTCAGTTGCTAACTGAAAGGACAGCCTTTTGACTCCATTAGCCGCTCTGCTTCCATAAACATTGTCAGCCCTGAAAGCCCTGTGGGGCTGCTCTGTCCTATGAGGAGAAATCACAGGGACACTATCAGTTGTAATCATTTTATTTGGGTGTTTTTTTTAATAGTGAAAAAAATTAAGATTTAAGCAGTCGAATCAAACGGTACATAAGAGAAAATTGCTTTCCTTCTCACTCCATTCTCTGTCTACAGGCACATCCTTTCTAACTTACTGTGTGGCCTTCTAGATATATGTGTGTCTGTGTAGTCTGTATATTCCATTTCTACACAGACGAGCTCATGACACTTGTGTGTACCTTTTTTTTACTTAGAAACACTCTTTGGGTTAGGCCATGTCAACACGTTATCTATGGAACCTAATTTGTTGAAATGGCTGCATAATATTTTTTACTTTCATATGCAATGGTTTAGTCAGCCACTCTTCTGCCTGTAACATTAAGGTTCTTTGAGAAGTATGTATTTTCTTATCAATTAAAATCCCTTTAGTAAGAAAGTGTGAAGATTGGTGCCCCACTCCATCCCCCCTTTTTTTTATTTGCTAGGATTTTTTTTTTTTTCCCTCAGAAGAACTAAGTCCCAAATATTTCTGTGGGCATAATACATGTTATGTTGACATTTAGAATTATTGCCTTACAAACTATTTCAAGTATCATAAAAGTTATATTCATTTGATCAAGATTCGTTAATTAGATAATTGGGAGATATGTTCAGATTTATAGAAATCTCAATTTTTAAATCAGTGTTTAATGTTGACCTTAAAGTTGCATGTTGTTGTTGTTAAGTGCTGTCAAGTCAGTTCCAACTCATAGCGACCCTGTATCAGGTTTCCAAGGAGCGGCTGGTGAGTGAACCGCTGACCTTGTGTTTCAAACTGACCTTGTGGTCCAGTACTTTATCCCACAGTGCCCCACCAAGACTCTGTTAAAATAGTATAAGGTGATGTAGTAAAATCTGTATTTACAAATGAGGAAGGCAATAAGCTTGTTTCCTGGATATTTCTGAAGTAGTGTTTTCAACTTTCATCTAAGATTTTTTTCATCTAGGCTGGAGGCAAAGCTGGAAAAGACAGTGGCAAGGCCAAGGCTAAAGCAGTATCTCGTTCACAAAGAGCCGGACTACAGGTAATCTGTTGGAATAGTTCCTTGATTGAGTTATTTTTCTTTACTATTGTAATTTATGGCTCATAATTGTCTCCCTAACTATACAAGTCTGTTTTGTAGCACCACTACTTAATTGGTCAAGATTTGACTATAAAGCATCTTTCTGTGTCGTTCGTTCTTCTAAGCAAGGGCCAGTATTTGAAAAATCTTAAACTGGTGATTTAGTTCTACTAAAATGTATTACTTCTAGATTGTATTTCTGTCCCCAGTTCCTTTATAAGTTGTATCATATTGAATTGAGTAAGCTGTAGTTTTTTTCTTTAAAGAAGGTATTTGTAATGTGTACTGATTTTCAGAATGAGAAATTCTTTTAGAGTAGGGAATTATGCATTGTTGGTGGTGTCTAGTCAGTTCTGACTCATGGTGACCTTATGCATAGCAGAACAAAAAACTGTGCCACCGTCACGATAGTTGCTGCCACTGTTAATCCATCTCTTTTTGCTGACCCTCCACATCACCAAGCATTGATGTCGCTCACTTCTAAGGAGTAACGTCCACGACCGGCAGATGTGTTTGTTCTTCTGGTGGTCTATGGTGCATTCAGTATTCTTCCCCAACACCATAATTCAAATGCATCAATTTTTTTCCAGTCTTTGCTTATTCATTGTCTAACTTTCACATGCATTTGAGGCAGTTGAAAATACCATGGCTTCAATCAGGTACATCTTAGTCTTCAAAGTGACATCTTTGCTCTTGAATGCTCTAATCTTTTGCAGCAGATTTGCCTAATGCAATACATCTTTTGATTTAATGATTGCTGTTTCTCTGAGCTTTGATTGTGGATCCAAGCAACATGAAATCTTTGACTACTTCATCCCTTTCTGCCATTATCATGGTGTTATTTTTTGGTCCAATTGTGAGGATTTTTGTGTTCTTTACATTTAGGTGCAATGCACATTGAAAGCTGTAGTTTTTGATCTTTATCAGTAAGTACTTCAAGTCCTCTTCTTTTTCAGCAAGCAAGGTTGTATCAGTTGCATATCGCAAGTTGCTTATGAGTCTTCCTCTAATCCTGATGCCATGTTCTTCATATAATCCATTTTCTCAGATTATGTGCTCAGCATAAATAAGTATGGTGAAAGGATACAACACTGACTCACACCTTTCTGAATTTGAACCATTCAGTGACTCCTTGGTCTGTTTTAGCTACTGTGTCTTGTTGGTCTGTTTACAGGTTCTTCATGAGCACAACAAAGTGTCCTGGAATTTTCATTTTTCTGCAATATTATTTTGTGATCCACACAGTCAAATCCACACAACTTTTGTTCCACATCCTCTTCTGAATCTAGCTTGGATTTCGGGCAGTCAATGTACTGCTGCAATCATTTAAGTATCTAAAACAAAGTTTTACTTGTATGTGATATTAATGATAACGTTGAATGATTTCCACGTTCCTTTGGGTCACCTTTCTTTGGAATGAGCACAAATATAGCTGTCTTCCAAGCAGTTGGCCAGGTAGTTGTCTTTCAAATTTCTTTTCATTGGCAATTGAGTATTTCCAGCATTGTATCAGATTGTTGAAACATTTCAGTTTGTTCTCCATCAATTCCTGGGGCTTGTTTTTCACCAGTGCCTTTAGTGCAACTTGGATTTCTTTCCTCCTTCAGCACTGTTCGTTGGTTCTTGATTATATGCTGCCTACATTGCGTCTCTACATTGAAGAGCAAGTTTCAGAGTCTCTTCTGACATTCACTTTAGTCTGTTCTTTTTTTCCTGTCCTTTTCATGACCTTTTGTTTTCTTCATGTGTAATATTCTTGATGAAGCCCCACAATTCCTCTGGCCTTTGGTCATAAGTGTCTAATACAGCAAATCTGAACTTGAGATGTTTCTAAATTCTGGTGGAAATAACTCAAGTTTCTATTTTGGTGCTCGTGGACGTGTTTTAATTTTCTTCAGCTTCACCCTGGACTTTTTAAGTGCCGTTGAATTGTTCTGACCCATAACCACACTGCTCAGGGTTTCCAAGGAGTGGCTGGTGAGCTGGAACTGCTGACCTTGTGGCTCAAATGGCTGCAGTCCCATGCATATCCCACAGTCAGCCCTTGACCGTTTTTGGTTGATGATATTGAGTTTGACCCTTGTCTCTTCGTAGTCAGCGTGATGCCTATGTATTTCATCTGGTGAGGTTCATGTGTCTCGTCACCTTTTATTTTGTTGAGAAAAGATATTTGTGATGAACAAGTAAGTCGTTGGTCTTCCAAAATTATGTCATTTTGTCATGCTATCTCCGGATCTCCAGCATCATTTCTATCACGAGAGCTATATTTTCCAACTATATATCCTTCCTCTTTATTTTCAACTTTTGTACTCCAGTCACCAGTCACTGCCAATGTATTTTGATGACGTGTTTGATCAGTTTCAGATTGAAAACACTGGTAGAATTCTTCAGTGTCATCATCATTGACTGCAGTGGTTTGTGCATAAATTTGAGTAAGGTTTTGTGAGAGCAGCTGGTGGGTTTGAACTGCCGACCTTGCTGTTATCTGTCCAGTGCTTATCATACTGTACCACTTCAGGGCTCTTCCTTGCATGTGTATAGATATTAATCTATTACAAATAGCATTGTACTTCAAAGTAGAACATTAAAAAAAGCTCTTTTTGATGATCAGTGCAATGCCATTCCTCTTCAATATGTCATTCCAGCATAGTAAATCATGTGAATGTCCAATTTAAATTGGCTGGCACCAGTCAATTTAATTCACTAATGCCCAGGATACCGATCTTTATTTGTTTATCCGTTAGTGTCTGAATGTTTCCCTAATAACTTCAGTTTTAGATTGAGGTCTACTCAAGACCACTAAATATTTTCAAACTTCAGCTATATTTGAGTTGTTGTTGTTGTTGTTATGTGCCGTGGAGTTGGTTCTGACTCATAACGACCCTGTACAGGGTTTCCGAGGCTGTAAATCTTTATGGGAGCAGAAAGCCTCATCTTTCTCCCGTGGAACAGCTGGTAGTTTCAAACTGCTGACCTTGCGGTTCACAGCCCGATTTGTAATTACTACCCTATTATTCCTTATATATATGGGGCTGGATTTTAGCCTGCTGGTTGTGAATTACTTGAAAGTTTTTGAGCAAGAGGGTACCATGATGCAGCTGGTATTGAAGGAAGAGTGATGAGAGCTTACTCTTAATACATGCATTCTTGATTTTAGGGCGCCATGTGCATTTGCAGTTAGAATTTATTTGAAGTGCATTTAATTTGAAGAGGGAGCTGGGAAGCACAGATGCGGGAGACAGTTACTATAGTATGCGGTGCTTGATATAGAGGGAGGGAGTTGGACCAGAATGGCAGGCAGGAAACAAGAGGAGAGTTTATAGAGCTGAGAGGTAAATTAAGACAAAGTCAAAGAGAGGACAATCTAAAACTTAGAACCTAAGTGACAGACAAGTTTGTAGAGGGACCAGTTATGAGATAAGTTTAATGGTTTTGCTTTTTTTTTTTTTAAGTTCCATGAAAATGTCCAAAAGTTGGAGGTGTGAGTCCAGCTTTCCAAGAGAAGTGAAAGAATTACAAATGTGAAATATTTATATAAAGTTGATAGTTCATGCTAGATCAATTTCCAACCTGCAGAGCATGAGAAAGGGACCTAAGACACGGTAGAGTTTTGGAGTCACTGAAGAAGACTGGGGAATAGTCACAGGTAGGGTTAGAATCATAGGCAGTCTCTGAAAACTGTTTTGTTTTTATTTTTGAGGTCCTCGCTTTGAGTGGCAACCGACTCAACAGCACTTAACAACAACAAAACTAAGTGCCTAGTAGTCACCAGGGACACAGAGGGGAATAAGGCGTGGGTCCTTCTCTTACGGAGCTCATAGTCAATAAGAAAAAGATGTTTAACTCAAACGTTCGTGCTTTTTCTCCTTATTGATGAGCATTGAAAAGTGTCTAATCAATACATTCGGTGATTAAAATGTCACTTCTGGCCTTCAGAAGTGTAGTTCAGCAGAAGCCAAGCTTGAGTTTGGAGAAAATGGATTGCACAAAAGTAAGGGTTGCAGGATTTCTTTAATAACTTTTGACTTTGCAAAGGAGATAGCTGAAAATAATCATCATGACATATTTTACAGTTCGATGTGCAGAAGGAACCTGTGGAAAGAGAGTAGTGGGAGTTGGCTGAATTGATGGAGTGATAGGGAATGCGGAAGGGACATATATTTTTGTTGGCTCAGACAAATGGGACTAGTGGACTTTGGAAATTAGAAAGTGCCTTTCACTTAGCAGTAGCTGTGAAAACAGTCATGATTTATTAGCTGATCTAATAAAGATCAGTTCAGTTAGAGACCTGAGGAAGGAAGCCAATCAAATATGAATATAATTATTGAGGCAGGTGGAATGTCCAATTGATGGTAGTATAGCAGTTTCCCTTCATGTTACAGTGAAACTTTATATTTTTATGCGTAAGTTAATTCATAAAATCCTGTGGGTGGGTTTGTTTCACAGTTATGAGATTTTTTTATAATCTAAATTACATTTCTTTGCATAGTAAAGAATTACAAAATTAAAGGAGTGCTTTACATTTTTGTACTTTTCCTGAAAATTCTTTTTCTCGGGGTCTATAAAAATTAGGAGCCCTGGTGTGGTGCTGTGGGTCAATGCGCCAGACTGCAAAGCCATTTGAACTGCAAGGTCGGCTGTTCAAGCTCACCAGCTGCTCCTCAGAAACCCTACACAGGGTCACTATGAGTCAGAATCGACTCGACGGCACTTCACAACAACAACGTAAAACATTAATTTGTTTTTATATTCTACTATTTGTAGTGGTTAGGAGTCAGACTGCTAACCTCAAGGTCAGCAGTTCGAAACTACCAGCCATTCCGCAGGAGAAAGATGAGGCTTTCTGCTCCCGTAAAGATTTACAGCCTGGGAAATCCTATACAGGGTCGCTGTGAGTCGGGACTGACTTTACGGCACACAGCCACCACCACCATTTTTGTTTTAAAATGATAAATATTCTAACACTAGCATTGATTGTTAGATCAGGCATTTGTTCAGTACATAGGTTCAAAGTTTCCTTTCCTTTTTTTAAAATTTATATTCTGCAATGTTGTTTTCCCACAATATTTCAGCTTTTTCATATTTAAATATTTTTCTTCAGTGAAACTTGAGTTTCTTTTCATGGTCCCTGATCATTTTAAACAGTTGGAATACCAGTGGTGCTGTTAACAGCTTTCTGGGCAGCTTCTTTCTCTTGGTGGCTTCTAGTACACTAACTACAGCATCATGGACCTTAGAACAGAAAGACTGAAGAATCAAGCATATGAAGAAGTTGTGAAGTCTCAGTTTCTAACAACACACCAGTGATTTCACCAGCAAGAGTACCATGCATGGTTAGAAAAGAAGCAGCCTTTCACCTAACATTTGCTTTTGCTCTTGAGGAGAGACAAATGCCAACCTGGAAAAGGTTCATGACCTTGTACAGTAGCAAGTTGTGACTGTGCACTAAATTGTTGTTGGGGATTGTGAATTCCTACAGTGTATTTATACTGGGGCACGTGACGGATAGCAGCAGCAGTTGCAGGATGGGGGACCCATGGCCTCTGTTGATGTGTTAGCAGTACATATGGCCGTGACTTGTGGAACCTGGGAAGAAGCCAGTCTCAGTACTAAATGGTGGTCTAAAAGAACCAATAGATTTGTTTTGAAAGAAGTGTAGCCAGAGTGCTCCTTGGAGGCCAGGATGGCCAAACTTCGTCTCTCATACTTAGGACATATTGTCAGGAGGGACCAGTCGCTGGAGAAGGATATCATGTTTGGTGAGGTGGAAGGTCAGAGAAAAAGAGGAAGACCCCCAGTGAGATGGATTGGTAGAGTGCCAGCATCCATGGACTCAAGTGTGGCAACAGTAGTGAGGTTGGCCCAGGATTGGGCAGTGTTTCGTTCTGCTGTGCATAAGGTCGTTATGAGTCGGTACCAACTCCATGGCACCTAACAACAACAACAGGAACCGCTTGGAAGATAGCCCCAGGTGTATTTTGGAATGGATGAAGTCTGGCACCCTGAACTTGGTCTTAGTAGAGCATTGTGGCTAAGAGGATAGTGTGCAGCATGGTTCTGAGTCGGACAGGTGCTGGCTGGTAGTGGTTGATTATGGTTGGACACGGCTCTCACACGTAACCATTCTTTGCATATACAGGTTAGTAAGGTGAGCCTGGCACTCTTACTGCACTGAGATGCAGCTGCATGCAATGGCTTGGTGACCACAGTTGTACCATTCATTTCTGTATTTGCTTTAGTCATTTCTGGGGAAGAGAAACATACAAAGCCAAACCCTTTGCTGGGACCCCTCCATTAGAACATTTACAGAGGTGGTTATACCAAACGGAGGAAACTTTTTGTAGAAACATTCAGCATCAGTACTATCCTTGAGATGTTTCACATAAAAGTCAGTACTGTGCTATTTGGTGATCCTATCCATGTCATCGGTTCAAATTTGTGCTTAAGATCCATCTGCATGCCACTTCTTTATAAGCTCAACCAACACAACTTTATTTTCCCTCAGGTTCCTTTCCTCTCTTCTCCTCTCCTCTCCTCCATGGCTTTCTGCACAGCTTCATTCCTCAGCTCACTGAGCCAAAACTGGGTTTCCGCTGTCCCCCGTCATTGCTCTCACACATAAGGCAGGTACAGATTTGCCCAACAGATCCTTGAGACGCTTACCAGGTCGTCTCCTGAATTTGTGATGTAAACATAGGTGAACTCTTGCCCTAACTCAGAGTTTTACTTCTCATTCTTTATGAGACAACAGATCCTTTTTTAAAGCATACCATTTATTTCTTTAATAGCTCTTTCAGCTGCTTCCTGTGTCTCAAAATGTATAATAAATCCATAGCCCTTGGAACCATTGTTGTTACCACCTTACATGAGAGGATGTTACCAAAGCAGAAAATGTATCATCCAGTGCTTTATCAATGGATTTGTCCAAATTTTTAATAAACATGTTGTCTACCCCACTTTCAAGAAGACCACATGCATACTAGCTTGCACTTTATGACATTAAAATTCATGGTGCTCAGTGAGTGGCGTGTGATCGTGTCCCTGTAGACCTGGATGGAGAGGAGGATGTGCCCTATAAGGGCTGAACTTCTCATAATGCAGGGGTGGGGAAGGTTCCATCTGCTAGCCTGTGAGGCCCACAGAATCACTTGGTGTGGCCCTGCCAAGGCAGCTGCAGTTCCAGCCATCACATTGTTCTTGTTAAGTGCTGCCAACATGGTTCCAACTCATAGCAACCCTGTATGGGGTTTCCAAGGAGCAGCTGGTGAGTTTGAACTGCTGACCTTGCGGTCCAGTGCTGTGTATCCCACAGCATCACACCAGGACTCCAGTCATTATATTATTCAGTGCTGTCGAGTTGGTTCTGACTCCCAGTGACCTTATGTAGAGTTTCCAAGAGCCACTGGTGAGTGAGTTAATGAAATATTTGACCAAACAGAGCACTTTAATTTTTAAGTTGATAATTCTGTTTGGCCTGGAAATGATGTTATCATTTTGGCTGAAAAAAAGATTCCCTGCCCGTCTTAAAGCATCCCTTGGGTCATGCAGGATTGTAGGTCACCACATAGAGCCAAGCTGGGGGCACTGGGTTCATTCCAGCCAGGGCCTGGAGCCAGGGGGAGGAGAGCGGGGCAGGCTCAGAAGCACAAAACCGGAAGGAGTCAAGGGGATGGGGCTGACAGCCAGGCTCCTCGTCCCTTCTTGAAGCTGTGCAGGGCTGCGGGCTGGTCTCAGCTGCTTCAGCTGCTGAATTTATACAAAATTGAAAGATCTAGCAGGGAGACTAGGAATGTTTTTAACTTTTTTTTTTTTTAATAACATGAGCATTTTAAAAGGTTTATTTAAATTTGGAGGGAGGGGAGTTTCTAATAAATGTTCTGAGCCTGGAGCACCTACTCTGCATTCTCAGCACTAACTGCTGGTGAGAAGGGGCTGTTTGTTTCATTTTTAAAAAAACTTTGCCCTCAGAAGAGCAGAATCAACAGATGGAGATTTGGGTCTGATTCCTAGGACATACAAACAGGCCCCAGGAACTAGGTACCAAGTAGATTAGGTTTCAAATATGTACAAAACAAAGATTTAAAAAATTTTTTATTTCATGCTTTAAAGTCCTTATTACTTACGACCATTAATGTTTCAGTTTCCAGTGGGCCGTATCCACAGACACCTGAAGACTCGTACCACGAGCCACGGAAGGGTTGGCGCTACCGCTGCTGTTTACAGTGCTGCGATTCTGGAGTATCTCACAGCTGAGGTGTGTAGGGCATGGAGGGGACCCCAAATATGTGAGTTCCAGTGGTCGAAACCCATAAATTATATTTCATTTAAAAAAATTTTTTTTTAAAAACCTGGCCCAAAGTTAAATCCAGGGTCAAAAACCATGGTTTTACTTGATCTTTACAAAGTAGTAAAATGATTTAAATACTACTATTGTAGCTAATAGGAGCTCTGGTAGTGTAGTGGTTACAAATCGAGCTGCAAACCACAAGGTCAGCAGTTCGAAACTACTAGCTGCTCCGTGGGAGAAAGATGAGGCGTTCTGCTCCCGTAAAGATTAACAGCCTCGGAAACCCTGTGCAGGGTCGCTATGAGTCGGAACCGACTCCACGGCATATAACAACAACATTGTAGCTAATAGGAGCTCTGGTAGCGTAGTGGTTACGAATCGGGCTGCGAATCGCAAGGTCAGCAGTTGGAAACTACCAGCCGCTCTGCGGGAGAAAGATGAGGCTTTCTGCTCCCATAAAGATTACAGCCTCGGAAACCCTGTACAGGGTCGCTATGAGTCGGAACCGACTCCATGGCACATAACAACCAACAACAACATTGTAGTTAATACCATTGAGTCAGTTCCAACCCATAGTGATCCTGTATAGGGTTTCCAAGGAAGCTGGTGAGTTTGAACTGCCGACCTTGCGGTTCAGACCGACCCTGTGGTTGAATGTTTATCCTACATCACCACACCAGGACTCCTTAAATACTGTAGTGCAGATTAAATGAGCTCTGGAGTATGCATATTTAAACAGTAGGCAGTATTTGTGAAGTTGACAACTTACTTCACAAATGATGTTGCCACGAACCCTCCCTCCTTCTTAGACTTCTGGTGTGGCGCTGTGGGCTAATGGCGCTGGACAGCAGTGTCACCTTGAACTACAAGCCTGGCAGTTCAAACTCACAAGCTGCTCTTCAGAAACCCTATACAGAGTCACTATGGGTCAGAACCAATTCAACAGCACTTACCAGCAACAACAACATCCCTCCCATAGTGCATTCCTCATCTGGGTTTAGTGATTCATTGCAGTGGCCACATAGAACTCAAACCATACTCACAGTTTGGGGGTTTATTAGGGAAGTTAACAGATTACAACGCAAGGTCAGAAATGCTCAGGGCACAGAGCCTCTCCTCAGCTGTGCCCACAGACAGGCCTCTTGCTACCTGGCCAGTGTTACAGGGTTCTTTTAGGGCTTCTGATAAATTCCCACAGAATGCCCCACTCTGTCATAAGGCTTGGCCTGAAGGCACTCAGTTCCTTCCTAATAAGCAAGCCTCTGGCCCAAAGTCACTCAGGCTTGTGGAAGCCCACTGCTCTGTCACACGCTCTGGCTCTTGGTTCTACTGCTGCTACTCTGCCACTCTTCCCATGTCACAGTTTTCTGTCCCAGGGTAGAAGAGATTTGGTGAACCAAGGATCTTGCAAAAAAGGACATGCTCCATTCCTGGCTTATGATCTTTGAAGATAGTGAGATTCACCTCTTCCTGCTTCTAAAATGATTCATTTTATACTCGTTAGTGTTCTGGGTTTTTACAGTTACAGTACACCCTATTAACCACTCAACAGTTGAATCATGCAATCCTGTCAGCATCTTGTCCCACCTTCCTTTAGCCAGTCCTTTCAGGGAAAAAACATTGCTCCGTGGGAATTAAGATTAATGTTACAAGATACGTATTAAGTAATTCACTATACCACAACAACCTATTAGTTATAAAGATTTGAGGTGGGGTTAATGGTTTTAAGAGGTACCAGATGATCAAGAACCCTTGGTGTCGAAACAAGTGGAAACTAGATTGAAGGCTTTGGCAAAAGCCAGGGCTCTGGGAATTGACAATACAAACTGATATGTTTAACAAAGTGATGCAGCACTGGAGTGGCTCATTTGTCTATGCCAAGAAAGTTGGAAAAGAACTACTTGGCAAACCAGTTGGAAGAGATCCATATGTGTGCCCATTCCAAAGAAAGGTGACCCAATGGGAAGCAGAAACCATTAAAAAGTAAAATTTTGCTGAAGATAATTCAAAAATAGTTGGCAGAAATATATTGATGGAGCTAGCCAGAAATTCAAGCCGGATTCAGAAAAGGATATGGAACAAGCAGTATCATTGCTGGCATCAGGTAGAACTTGGCTGAAAGCAGAGAATACCAGAAAGACGTCTACTTGTACTTTATTGACTATGCAAAGTTATTTGACTGGGTGGATCATGAACTGTGGATAACATTGGGAAGAATGAGTATTCCAGAACATTTAATTGTACTCATGAGGAACCTGTACATATATCTAGAGACAGTTGTTAAAAAAAATAATAAAAGGGATACTGAGTGGTTCAAAATGAGGGAAGGTGTAAGTGTTAGCCAGGAGTATGTCGTTTAACCATTTTTATTCCTTCTGTAAGGAGGCCTGGTAACGTATTGGATTTTGAAGTGGGCTGCTAACCACAAGGTCAGTAATTTGAATCTACCAGTTGCTTCACATGACAAAGAGGTGGCTTTCTGCTCTCATAAAGATTTACAGCCTGAGAAACCCTGTACAGGGTTTCTATGAGTTGGAATCAGTTAGGTGGCACACCACCACCACCATTCAATCTGTGTGCTGAGCAAATAATCCAGGAAGCTAGAGTATATGAAGAAGAATGTGGTGTCAGGATTAGAAGACTCATTAATAACAACTTTGCTTGCTGAAAACAAGAGGATTTTCAATATTACTGATGAGATTAAAGACTACAGCCTTCAGCGTGGATTGCATCTCAATGTTAAAAAAAAAATCCTCACAACTGGACTAATCATGATAAAAAGAGAAGATTGAAGTTGTCAGAGACATCATCTTGCCCATTTCCACAAAGCTCATAGAAGCAGTGATCAAGAAATCGAATGAGATGTATTTATTGCATTATGCAAATCGGCTTTTACAAGTGTTCAAGAGCATGATGATGCATGGAGGGGATTGTAATCATTGAAATGAAAAAATGAGTGTAAAACCGATGTTCTCCCATGTAAACTATCAATTCACAATAAAAAACGTTAAAAAAAAAAAAAAAAAAAAGCTCAAGAGCAAAGATGTCAGTTTGAGTGCCTGACTCAAACCAGGTATTTTCAGTTGTTTTTTATGCATGTGAAAGTTGGACAATGAATGAGACTGTAGAATTGATGTATCATTAGAATTATGGTGCTGATGAAGAATACTAAAAGTAACACCAACAGTCTTCACTGCTTTGAAAGAAGTGAAGCCAGAATGCTCCTTAGAAGCCAAGATGGCCAGACATCATCTCTGGTATTTCAAACATGTTGTCAAGAGGGGCATGCCCTAGAAAAAGATTTTATGCTTGATAAAGTGGAAGACCATCAGTGGGCTCAAAAGCAACAATTGTGAGGACGGCGCAGGACTGGTCAGTGTTTCGTTTTCTTGTGCTTAGGTTTGCTGTCAGTCAGAACCGACTCAATGGCACTTAACAACAGCAAAGGTTTGCCAGTGTCTACAATATGAAAGTTTAAAAATACCTTCTCCTCTTGTTTCTTTGCATGGTAGTTGAATGTACAAAATACTCTATCCTGCTCAATTTGACATCCGGAGGATAAAACCGTTGAGCAGCAATTCTCCCTAACTCTCCCATGGAAAACTCTGAAACTCCCTAAACTCCAGGCAAGGGAAATAAGTGTTATTATAAACAAGTCAAGTGGTAGAAATAACCAACAGAGGAAGGAACTTATTAGGGAGTGGTGAAGAATTTATGTATTAAATCTTCTTTGCACTTATTTAACATTGAATTACAGATGCTTCCCTTTGGTATATGATGAACAAAAGGTTTTGTATGTTGACTTTATAGTAATAGTTAACCTTTCCTTCCCCTTTCACCCTTCTACTCATCTTAACCCAGTTGTATTTGTTTAGGTGCAGACTTTAACAAATGCATGCAGTTTTGCTCACTCTTTTGAGACCTAGTATTCCTAAGTTCTTTCTAAATGGTGCTTAACTTCACCGAAGCTAGTCTTTATCTTTTAGAATTTTGATAAAGATTTTTTAGGTGAAAATTAAATAATACATCTTGCCTAGGTGTTTTTAAATTTAGTAGAGGTAAGGAAAAATGGTGTGAAATCTAAGACAGGAATTTAAATCAAGGTAGTCACTTCTTAGCCTTGCTTTATAAAAGAATCATTTGAGAAACTTGCAGAAAATACTGGTGCCCAGCCTTATCCCATATTGGTCAGTTTCTGAATCTTTGGTGTTTTGAAAACTCAGCAACTGATTATAATTTATATCCAAGATTGTTGTTATTAAGTGCCATTGAGTGAGTTCTAGCTCATACTGACCCTGTATAGAGTTTGCAGAGAGCAGCTGATGGATTTGACCTATCAACTGTGGGGTTAACAATCCAGTGCTTATCCTATATCAGGATTGTCACTACTGTATTGTGTTTGTATTACGTATATTAAAGGTTCTGTAATACTGCTATGGGAGCTTGGTGGCTCTGTGGGATACTCACTGTACTGTGAACTACATGGTTGGCGATTCAAGCCCACCAGCCACTCCACGAGAGAAAGATGACGCCTTCTGCTCCTGTGAAGATTTACAGCCTCAAAACTCCTATGATGATGGTTGTGTGCCAACTCATAGTGACACTGTATAGGATTTTTAAGGCTGTTAAATCTCTATGGGAGCAGAGTGCCTCATCTTTCTCCTACAGAGCAACTCAGTTCATAATCCAGTATTGCTATCAGGGCTCCCAGAAACCCTCTTACAGGGTCGCTGTGAGTCAGCACTTACCAACAGCAGCATGCACCACTATGGGTTATGGGCATAAAATGCACTTGTACCAGTGCTGTTCGTCCTTTCTCACTCCTTCCTGCCTCCTCTGCTTTATCCCTGGGCAAGTGCTGTCCTCTCTATCTCAGACATGCATACTTCACCTCACAGTCTTTTTCTTTTGTTTGGCTGAAAGTTGAGCCCTTGGGGGTATGTTCAGTTCCAAGCTTGGAAGGTATCTAAAGGCCATAGTATTGGGGTGCTCCCAGTTAGCCTGGTCTTTTTTTTCTGGCTTTGAGTTTTGTTCAGATTTTTCATCCACTCTACCCAGGACCTTCAGAGCAGAAGGCATTGGTAGTCAGGTACCATCTAGTCTGGTCTCAGTGTCATGGAAACTAAGAGTTACGTGACCCATTAGTGGCTTGGACTAATTGTTACCACACATCTTTAATTTTCTTCATTCTTCTTTGTTTCCGATTGGAAGACACCATTAGTTGCACATTTCAAATTTAGAATCACACTTCATATTATCCCTTGTCCTTATCTTGAATTTCTTCCTCTATAGTGACAAGTTTTTGATCAAGTTTTTAGCTCTGTGTGGAGAACAATACAAAAGGGTCAAAGAGTATAATGGAAATCCAGGAAAGAAAGCTATATTGTGTATACATGTTTATGTTTGTGTTACTGTGTATACTTTGTTACTCGTACAGATGTTGTCATGATCTATTTAGCTGTAATTGGGAATCTACACTGAATTCTTTAAAACTGTATCCTTTATTCTTTCATGAATGCTCTTTGTAGGTACTGGAGCTGGCAGGTAATGCTTCTAAGGATCTCAAAGTAAAGCGTATCACTCCGCGCCACTTGCAGCTTGCAATCCGTGGGGATGAAGAGTTGGATTCTCTCATCAAGGCTACCATAGCTGGGGGTGGTATGTATTTACCTTTTGAGCCTAAAGCCTTTCTGACTAATTCAGTTCAGCTCAGTGAACAATTTGAATGGCTAAGTAAAAGGTATATAAACTAAAATTTTCATAAGTATTTAGTCTATTATGATTCTAGCCTTCTTTATTATATCTGAATAAATGTTTTTTCTTGTTAATGATATGAGGGTAAGTCATAAAATATTGCTATAAAATCATAGAAACCTTTACTAAACAAAAATATAAAACGGTGAAGCTGTTGTTTCTCAACATATCCTCCACTTAAGTCTGTGTACTTTTGAACACAGCGTTTCCATGTCTTTAACCTTTCCTCAAAGAATTCTGTGCTTTTCAATTTACACCATGTCAGAAGGGCAGTTTTCATATCCCCAAGAGGCCCAAATTGTGTTCCTTTTCAAAGTTCTTTGACATTAGAGGAACAAAGAAGTCTGAAGAGCAAGATCATGCCTGTAGGGTGGATGCAGTAAAGTTTCCCAATAAAAATCTCTTAGGCAAGCCTTTGCTACCCTTGAAAAATGAGCAGGTTCATTGTCATGATGCTAAAAAATTCCTCAGCATTATTTTCTTGGCCTTCTTCTCACTGGTGAAGTTTTTTGTGTTCTTAATATTTCTTCATCTTAATAAACTCCTTAATAAACTCCCATGATTGACCTATGTCCTTAAAGAAAATCCATCAAGATTACCCCTTTGGGATCCAAAAACAAATGCCATGACCTTCTGAGTTGATCTCTTTGCCCTGAATACATAACTGGCCCAGCAGATTGTTTAAAGGCCACTGTTTTGATTGGACCTTTTTTGTTTTGCTTTTTTCAACATTCTCTGACTCAGACAAGTGTATTTCTGAGAGAACTTGCCTGCAGCCACCGATTAATTGCAAAGACTTGTTTAAATACATTTTGTTTGATAAAACCCTGCATATATGAACTGGAAACCTAGTAGCAGTAGTTTTTTACTTAACTTTGTATATAATATTATTTTTATTTTCAGCAAAACATTTAATATATGATACATATATTTTCCATACCTTTTAAGCTTATTCTTTAAACTGTTAGAAAATGAACTTGAAAAATTAGGAAGGATAAGCATTCAGATGGGTGTGGATTAGTGAAAGTGAGAAGATGTAAGCTGGTGGTTTGGATCTTTTCTGGAGAATATGATGGGGATGGGCTCCTCTTCTTAGAAAAGGCCCTTACCTTCACATACAGCGGGTTAGTGGGTCCGTGGGCTGCTGGGGGAGGGGAGGGACTCCCACAGTGTCAGCATGTGGAAACAGAATTCCTTGTATTCTTCCTTTTTTTGTAGAATTACTCTTTTTGCTTGTGTCACTATTGCTGTAAATGCTATTGCTTACAGTAAATTTGAGGATATAGTCAGCTATGAAATGTATAATATTGTCTTTATCTCATTCTAGGTGTGATCCCTCACATCCACAAGTCTCTGATTGGAAAGAAGGGACAGCAAAAAACTGCTTAGAGAGTTTTAACTAGCCCTTTCCTCTCTCACTGTACTGTAATGGGGACAGAAGACATGATGGGGTATATGGAATTTGTAAAACCCTTCGGCGGAAACGCATAGACAGTTACTACAGACCTGCTCAAAGGGACATTATATCTTCTCAGACTCAAAGCTTGATAAAAGCACCTTTTCATGTGGCAACAATTGATTGTCTGTTGGTTGGCTAGGCTTCTCCGTTGTGTTTTATACAAAGATGGAGTTGATAAACCAGTTTTTACAAATGAATTTGTCTCAAAACTTCCATTTGTGATGTATTAGAAAGATTTTGCTCAGACTTTGACATTTTTTTAAGTCTCAAATTGGTTATCGTATATTTAGAATAATCTTAAAACAAATTGGGAATATTGCTTCATCATGATTTAATGCCCTATTTTATTGAATAAAGATGAGGCTTTCTATTCCCATAAAGATTTACAGCCTCAGAAACCCTATACAGGGTCACACTGTGAGTCGGCTTGGACTCGATGGCACTTCACACTGTACTGTCGATTAGAATACGTACCCTTGTATATGCCACTGAGAACGAAACGCTGCCAATTAAACCGTGGCATGCCATCAGTTATGGGACACGCCCCAATCCGAGTGGTGCTGGAATATGAGAAATGTGCATTTCAGATTGATGGGCTAGAATAGCGAACTTATTTATTGAGTACTTGTGTGCCAAGTTCTGTGCTAAGTACTATACATGCTTAGTCTCAGACTAGTGAATTATAATGTTGAAGTGTCCACTTCACCCCCTGTTTATAGATATGGGACCTGAGGCTTACAGTAATTAAGTGATACAGCAAAAGAAATTTTAACCAGTAGCTAGAAGTTGGCAGAGGTAGGATTCAGACCTAGATTCTTGAGTTCAGAGCTCAAACTCTTACCTAGAGTTGAAGTTAAGTTTATCAAAATTTTCTGCTTAGATGTAAAATTCCAACTTTGTAGTGGACTTTGAGAAATTCTTGTTACAAATCTGGATTGAATTATGCATTAGTGAAAATGCCTCTTCCCTGTCAAGCCCACACTTTCGGGGCTGCATTCAATTGGAGTCATTTATGCTCTCACTTCGATGTGCGTTTTCATCTGTTCCTGAAAAATGAAACTATGAATAGATTCCTATTACTATTGATAAATGCGCTTTTTATATTCTTACTTACATTGCTTTTTTCCTTCCTATTTAAAAAAATCTGTTGATAGTTTTTAACTTTTGAAGTAAACTGTTGAAAGCCACATAACCCTCAGCCTGTGCTGGTACGCCTCCGCTGCACTGTCTGTCCCGGGGACTCCTGTGTCTTCTGTTGGCACTTTGGCTGCACTGCTGAAATGTACCTACGCCTAGTAAGACTTCAGTTGTCCTTATCTAGTCTAGTGATATCTGGGGAGTGCTGGGACTTTGTAGTATCAACAGTGGCTGATAACCACCAGGGCGGTGGGCCAAGCCCACCAACTGCTCCACTATAAGATGATGAGATTTGCTGCTCCCGCGGAGATTTACAGCCTCAGAAACTCAGAAATCCTGTATGGGGTCACTATGTGTCAGAACCGACTTGATGACACTTAACAACATAAGATTCATATTTAGTCATTTATACAACCTTTTAAAAAACACATTTTCTTTGTCAGCTTCTAAGTAGCAAATTACAGAATGTAACTGAATTTAAAGATTTAACTGAGCAAAGCCAGTACTAGTTAATGGTCCAGCAGAGAATTCTATTTTTCTGTCTGGAGTCTTCATTAAAGAAGGAAATATTTTAATGTTTTATAATAATAGCACTATCAAAACAAAATTCTCTTCCTAAAAAGCTTATTTTATTATGGAAAATCTCAAAAATACACAAGAGAAGAGTAATGATTTTTCTCTCCTATGCCCTTTGATTTACCTGTTTCAGCGCTCCACCTGTGAATTCATTTTAATCCCAACCTAGGCATAATATAGTTTCGTATTAGGAGCTCTGGTAGCGTTACGAATTGGGCTGTGAACCGCAAGGTCAGCAGTTCGAAACTACCAGCTGCTCCGCAGGAGAAAGATGAGACTTTCTGCGCCCGTAAAGATTTACAGCCTCGGACACCCTGTACAGGGTCGCTGTGGGTCGGAACCGTGTCGACGGCACTTAACAACAACATCTGTCGCTAAAGGTGGAGTGCTTTTTGTAACATGACCATGGTACCTTTCATACTACTTTAAAAATTTAATATCAAATATCCAGTGTTCAGATTTCCTTTATTGAACATTTGATTTGTATCGTTTACGTTTCTTTAATCTATAGAATTTCTCTTCCCTTCTTAATGTTTTTCTTGTCGTTTTAATTTTGAAGAAACTGCATTGTTTGTACTATAGAATTGTCCCTTAGTGTGAGTTTTACAGAATGCATTCTTATAGTGTCATTTCGTTTTCTTGTGCCTTGACAGTGGTCTCTAGAGGGATTTTCTTGGTTGTGTTTATTTTTAACAAAAATCACTCCTTTATGTTATATACTTCCTATTGTATCACATCAGAAGAATCATAGTGTTTCCTTGCTTTCTGAATGTACGATTTTATGCTGTCTCATGCTGTAATGGTGGTGTCGATGAGAAGGCTTGGATGGCGCCATCACAGTCCATCCATTGGGACGTTCTCATTCACCGTCTCCCCTAGTGGTTTTAGCTGCTGCTAGTGATCATTGCTCAGAGCCAGTATTCTGTTAGGGGTTATAAACTGTTGATATTCTAGCATTCCTTCTGCATTCATTATCTGGAATTCTTTAAAGAATGTAAGCTCATTAATTTATAAGGCAGGATAAAATGACAGTTTCATATTCTGACTGAATTGTTTGTGCCTACATGGTTGGAAGGCATTTCTATGAGCCAGGACCCACCCTTGTCCTGTGTAAGGTTGCAGTAATTCTCAGAAACCAAAGCAACAGTAGAAAAGAAAGCGTAATAATAAAGCTTCCTTTGGTTTCAATTTAGTTAAATAGGAGTGTTTTCTTACAATTTTCCAGATGATTGATTAAAATACCTATTTATTTTTAATAGTTATTTAACCCTTTTTCTAGGACTATATGTATTTTTGGTTTGTTTTTGTTAATAGAAAACACATGAAACAATATAATGAACCCCTGGTTTTCCTGCTGTTGCAGCCCGGCATCTACAATTACAGTCAGTCTTATTTAACCCTGTACTTCCCCCTTCCTTGTACTGGATTGTTTTAAAGCGTGTCCCTGCCATCATGTTTCATCTGTAATACTTCAATGTGTATCACTAGAAGAAAACTTAAAAAAAAAAAAAAAAAAACTGTTATCACACCTAAAAATCATTTAAAATAATTCCAGAATTGTATTTTAAATAGTAGAGGATAGATGCATACAGTAGCACTTCAGAGAATGGCGGGGTTGTTTTTGTTTTTTTTTTTTTTAGCAGAAAGTGAATATGAACCTAGACCCCAAAAAATGTATTGCATTTGGACCCCTAAAAAGATCCAGGGTAAGGCAGCAACATGAATAATGTCTTAGGAATTCTGGAGTGTACATAGAAAGTTGTGGCAATGACCTGAGGGCTACTGCATGGAGCAGGAATAAAGAGGATGTGCTGCTGGCTCTGGGGCTATGGTTACATTTATTGTGATGCTATTTTATGATTAAATTTTTGAACATGCAGGAAAATAATTATACCACTGAACAATTCTTGTACCCACCATCTAGACTGCATAATTAACTTTTTTTCTGTATTTGTTCTAATCATAATTAATCATCTGTGGTGAATAAAAAGTATTCTTAGATCAGATCATGTTATATGAGGTGACTCGGGGAGCTTAATGATCTAGTGACACAAGGTTGCACTGGGATGTGTTTCAGGTAGAACAAGGAACAAGCAGACTAGATTGAATGTGGACAGAAGGCGAACTGATTGAAATTTACTTCTCGTGGAATGAACAAAGTTTTAAACAAAATTCTTAATCTACTTAAAAGGAGCTGTGATTTAAAGGATTTTACAGAGTATGTTTTTGTGCATGGTGCTGTAGTTTTCTTTTGAATGGAAGATTTTATCATTGGCGTTTCTGATCATCCACAGAATGGATAGTTACCAAATGAAGATATTTGGTGAATCGGAACTTCGAGCACTAGAAAGAATGAGAACAAGTACAAAAAAAACTAAACAAATTGCCATCAAATTGATTCCAACTCACAGTGACAGAGTAGAAACCCTCCACAGGGTCTTCTTGGCCACAGTCTTTGTCAAAGTAGGTTGCCAGGTCTTTCTGTAGCATTGCTGGGTGCGTTCAAATTGCCTACCAATGAAAGTTCAAATACATGGTATTAATTTTTAGTTGGATGAAAGTCAGTCTAACTGCTGTAATTAGCTGACTACCTAACAGAGTACAGCACTGCATTTTTGAAGAAACTGGGAGGAAGGGGGTATTTTGCTTTGGGAACCTGTACAGGTGTACAGAACAGATTCTGAAAGCAGAAAATATGAACTGTGATTGTTTTAAGTGCCATCGAGTCAACTCTGACTCATAACAACTCTTTATAGGGTTTCCGAGGAGCAGCTGATGGGTTTGAACCACCAACCTTGCGGATCAAATTGACCTTGCAGTTCAGTACTTTTTCTACAGTGCCACCCTGTGTTAGGTTACAGGGCAAAGGGGGTTTGATAGATGTAATTAAGGTTACTAAAATAAGGGATACTGTCCTTGGTGTGGTGTTACAGGATAAGCCCTAGACCTCAAATTCCATTTGAACTGCAAGGTTGGTGGTTAAAGCCCACCAACCGCTCTTCAGGGTATGAGTTGGAACCAACTCGACCGCACTTAGCAACGACAAATCCTGGATTATCTAGACAGGTTCAGTGTAATCACATGAACTTTTGAAAAGTGAAGAGGAAGAAAGAGTTGGGGGACTCAACATGCCATTGCTGACTTGAAGGGCATGGGACCACATGGGGAAGCATGAAAAGGAAAACCTGCCAGCAATCACTGTCTTGGAAAAGGCCCTAAATCCAGTCACGGTGTGCTAGGCTTCTGACGTCAAGCTTGTTTAAAGCCAGTCAGTTCAGTGCGCAGCAGTAAGGAAACTAAGGAATCTGTAAGGTTTCCATGAAGTTGGGTCTCGAGGGTGGAGATTTATAACTTGCAGATAGCAGGACTGAGCTTGACAGTTCTCTCATCAGTGATCTACGCCTATGAATTCTGGAGTCCAGTACACCTGGGTTCCAGTCCTTGCTGGCTGGCCCCTAGTTGTGTGGCCTCACATCATCC